ACATGTTTTGATTTTCTACTGTTTTGATTTTTGGATTTTTCTGGTGTTTTAGTATGGTGTTTTACTATTGTAATGAAAGTTTTTGTGTGACTACAATTTATCTTTTTACATAAATAATTTCGAGTAATATATAGAAATAATTGTCATTTTCATGCTGCCGACATCCTCTTGGGATATAGTTTTTTTTGTTATCAACATACCATAAAATCTTTTTGTAATGAAGTAGAACCTGACTTTTGTTTAGACCACAGGAAATAGAATGTAAGATTTCATAATACCAAATTGCTTCATAGAAAAGTAGTCTCTAAATATAAGATTTAATGGTTTAAATTGCTGTGGGTGGATGTGGTCACATGCGACCACTCGCGATTCGCCGGACGCATGCAATTTTTATGGGGATTGAAGGGTTAATAATTCAATAGACGGGCTTTAAGTGGGTAAAAAAACTAGTGGTTTTAATGTGATCCAGGGTTCAAGGCTAATTGTTGTTTTTCAGGTTCTGGTTGTATTTACATACACAATACATAAACACTCACGCCTGTCACCCAGAGGGGTAGGCAGAGACTACAGACTTCCATTTGGCACAATCCTGACCCACCTCTCTCGCCTCCTCCACATTCATGTACCTACGCATACATGCTCGTCGGTTACGGGTACTCTTAATTTAGCCCATTTTCAATATATCACCAATTTGGTCGATAAACTTTCGCCTAGGACGTACCTTTCAGACTCTTTCATTCACTTCTGCAATATAAATTTGCTTTGTCACTCTTTCCTCACTCATTCTTACTACATTACCAAACCACCGAAGCATTCCTTTCTTAATCCTGGTCATAACATCAACTCATCATCATGGTTGTATTTGTCACTATTTAACGCTGCACCTTAGTCTAACCCTGATCTATCGCATTTTATATCAGGTAAGTTATACATGTATATTATTCCAGCGATGACAACCTTAATTTGCAATATTAAGAAGTATTATCAAAGTCAAACTTACAAAACTGTTCTTCAATGTTTTAAACAAATTTTGGAGACCAGTGTTCTTTAATATAAACATGCGTACATTGACGCTTAAACAAATTCTACAAATTTCACTAAAGGCCATTCCTGTATCTTATACTAATTCTGTTTTCATTAATAAATCACAGACCAGACCAGATAGAGAAATAGGGTATGTTCCGAAATACAACGCAGTGTACTGTCCAATGCAAATGACGTCATAAATCGATGCTATACTGGTGATTCGTTCCAAAACATTGGACAGTATATGACGTCATACTTTTGCGCCATTTAGAAAAGTGTTGGCGATTATTTTGTCATTTTGTGATCCAAAAATTATTATATCCTCCTAATGGATATACCAGTATTTATTCTATAATTTTTTGTATTTGAATAAATAGAAACAAATTCTGGCATGCTTCATTCAGCGCACACACAATTAAAAATTGTTTTATTGTGGCCGGATATCCGACGCAACATGGCGGCGGCACGCCAGTGCAATATAGTGTCAATTGATGACGTCATTAGCATTTAACAGTGTACTGTGTTGTATTTCGGAACATACCCATAATTAACCGAAGTTTTTCAGAATATTACGTAAAGTCACTAACTAGATACCAGCGTTGTTCCTGACAAATTTAGAGTTGCCGTATTCTAACTCCAAAATTGCCGGATTTTTAGGGAAAACTAAGAAAAATGCCGTATTGTACAAAATATTTGTTTAGAAGGTTGCAATAAAAACACGTAGAATACATGTTGTTTACATAATAGATAAGTGTGTATAAATGTACATGTAAATGTAAATGTACTAATTTTATTCTTCACCATATATTCCAGTACTTCTGATTCTGTCGCATTTGGGTCGTACTGTTTTTTATCTTTCATTTTACGAATCATTTAGTTTGGCACTTGAAATTTTGTACAATTACCGTTACCGATCCGGATCTCCATGGTTCTGAAGGTTAGAGAACAGGAGAACGATCGCCATAGAAAATAGTGTCCCAGAATATGGACACCATAAGTGAGGAGCTGCGATCGCTACGTTCAGTCAATTAAAGTCATTTTCAGTCTTTTTTCCGATCAGATGCTAAACCACTTGCACATCCACGAACGTTTTTTTTTGTCAAAAATACAAAATTACGGAGCATGAAAATTTTCTCACCAATGCCGCGGAGAAAATTTGTACATTATTCAACTAACTTCATCTACTTGTACTCATAAACAGCTAACTTCGCAGTCACTACTCACCGACGTCAGCGCCGCTATAAATTCTAAAACTTTCAAGGACATGTGGGCTATGCTTTAGTACGTAGTGATCGTTCTCGTGTTCTCTAACCTTCAAGGTTCACAAGTTGGTGTGTTCCATTATACGAAATATTTTTTTTTACTTTAGACAATTACCGTATATTTTAATACGGTAATCAAATAGCTGCCGTACACCGTATTTTTGTTACTTAAGATGCCTGAATGCCGTATATTACGTCAATTGCCGTATCAAGAACAACGCTGCTAGATACACGCGTCAGCACAGAATAAATAATAGTACTATTTACGTAGGCGTAGCATAGATACAGATGCGACACAGACAGTGATTTTTAGTCAAGTTTCCCAACTACGCCTTTTGGCGCTGCAGTCGCCCATTTTGACAGATGAGTAATGACTACTCCAGTATATACACAGTAATCTATGGACTACTCTTTGACTCGTAGACAGAGAAACCTATAGACTAATGATCGGCGTGGCCTCGAGTGAGAAAGAACGATAACGAATTTTTAGGTTATACAATAATCTTTATGACTTTTAAACACATTTAAATAAAAATTTTAATTGTTCTAAGAACTGAACTGAACAAGATTCACCAATCTTAAGCTCACAAAACACTTTTTTTTCACTTAAACCAACTTGTAAACTCCTTAAATCGCTACGCTGTCAAAGTTATTTAGCAAACTGTAGACTTTGCTAAAAAAAAAAACGGCACGGTGAAAGGGACAAACAATCACACCGCTCTATCTCATTTCTATGCAAGACGTATTCATAAATCTATCTTTTTCATGTGCGAATGTGAAAGAAGGCGTCAATTTGTCTATAGGTTTCTCTGTCTACGCTTTGACTAGAGTGTTTCTCTAGTCAAAGTGACTACTATACAATTTAGATAGCTATGTATAGCTTAGGGATTGCAAGCACACATCCTTCAAATTATCGATATCGATGTTTAGTGGTGTTCTTATTTTCTCGATATCGACATAAGTGCTTTATACAGGAATAATATTACTTAATGAAACAATTATAATACATCTACCTTATTTATTTTTTATTAAACCACACCAACATCATATACATACACATGTAATCTTAGGATTAAATTAAAGGCACATTAAGTTATATAAACAAATTAGAAAATTGTACATAACATTTTACATGAATAAGTACAATTTGACGAGAAACAGAGCAATATTTATAATTCATTAAATAAAGCAAATTAAACCACAGGAATCATATTTAAGTGCTTAATATTTTACTTTTCAAGTTATTTTTTATCAGAAGCATTGCTATTTATTTTTCATCAGGGGTAAAAACCTGGCCCTTCTTTTACAAAAATTAAAAAAAACATCTTCTCTTCTTTAATTTCATTTTCTACACCACGTAACCTGAAAAGAAATAAATAAAAATAAAGTCAAATATTCATATTTTATGACTTAATGATAATCATAAATTATATATTATTTATATTAAGGTAACAAAGGGTGGCTTCATGGCAGTTGGCATTTTTTATTGGTCAACCCATGGTGTGGTGAAAATAAAGTGGTAGATGCAGTAAATAAGAAACAAAAAACATATAAAGATTAACATTGTATACATCCATTATCAGGAGCTTTCTCAATGTCTTCAGGCACGGAGTTCCAAATAAGTGTAATCTCAATACTAAAGGAGTTGTTGATAAAACCATTGAAGTGTAGTGGAACTGTAATCTTTAGATTAGATGAAGAACAAAGAACTCTTATCGTGATTTGAGGATAGATATGCTGAATATAGATATAATAGATAGTTGAAACTTACCTAATTATGACTAAGAATAAACTGAATTTATCATACCTTTTAGCCAATGTGTACATTTTGTATCTTCTGTCAACATTTGTCTCACCACATCAGCATTGGATTTCTATTCCTGAAAACCAACAATATTTGTGAATTTTGTTCTTATACATAAACCCAAAATTAAGGAATAAATATATAATGTATACTTCTGTATTGTATGTATTAACGCTGTATGGCTACTATTAACGACAGTTTAGTATAATCGTAATTAAAAAGTAATCTATATTATCATATATCTAAGTTATTTGGCAATTGTACGTGGTAGAGCCATGCTGCAGGTATATTACTGGTATAGTTGTAGCACGAATGGGTCGTCTCGACTGGGGAGGGACCACACTCTTAGAGAATACCAGCATAAAATAGCAGCTTAACGCCACTGTGTTTCGTATGGTGAGTGTAGAGAACCGGAGACCCCTTTTTACTGGAAACGAGGCATTCCATCTTAGTCCTCACGGGTTAAACGCATCTGCATTTTGATTCGTAATCGAAGATAGATGTAGAGGTCTATGAGCGACAGCAACCACTTACCATCAGGTGGACTGTGTGCTCGTTTGTCACCCTTATCCTATAAAAAATCCCTAATATTCACTTCACTTAGTTGTTGTTGTTTTAACTTTCATTAATCGTTTCACCATTTCATTTCATTATTAACCACAGCTTTTTTGGTGATTTTTTACTGATCCTGCATTTATATATTTAAGTAATTATAGTGAAAAATACTCTACTCTACAATTACTCAGTTCCTACATTGACAAATCTTGCGAGATTTTCAGCTACGAATTGTCTATATATATGCTTACAAATGGTCGTACTTTTATCTTGTTAATACTTGGGCCCAAGAATGTATAGGGACGTCTCCTTCTCCTTTAAGTACCATGGTTGAAAGTAATAAACTGACTCACCTGTTGCAGTCAGAGGCACACCATAAGCTATTTCATTGTCAGTAAGAAAGGACGGGTAAGAGTATCGAAGTCTTCTGCCTTCATTGCCGAACTGAAATATATCAAAATGCCTTTCACAGACACGTTTGTTAAGTAACTGTTCTTTGGAAAGTACAATGAGCTGAGGATTTGTCGGCACTATGAAAGACATCCACAAGTTTCTTAAATTATCGTTCCTAGGGAATCTGAAAAGCCGGTGCGTTTCACGTGTTGTATTGCAACCACCAACACAACACTTTTCGTATACCATGATGATGGTATATGCAATATTTACACGAGCAGCACAAAAACAGAATATTTTAATAATTGAGGAAAATTTGGATAAATAATGGCGGCAATCAATATCGATAGTTTTGATTGGTTTTGATTTTTGACAATATGATTTGACTACATACATATGATTATATTGAAAATATAAGTGGTTTGGATGAATTATGTATGAAGGAGTTAGACTTGGAGAATATATGGAAAAATGTAAAGAAAGGTTTAGTGGATACAGATACCGAAGTATGTGGTGTTAGTAAGAGAAAGAATGAAAGGAAAAATAATACGTTATGGTGGGATGATGAGATACGTATGGAAGTTGAAGCAAAGAAGAGAGCATGGCTAGATTTACTAGCAACAAAGGCTGGTAATTCTGGCGGTACGAATGGTGATATTGAAAGAAAAAAGGCAGTCTTTAGACATCTTAATAAGAGAGTAAAGGAAGTAGTTGAAAGAAAAAAGCAAGAAAGAACGGATAAGAATGATAGAAGAATATCGGATAACTTCCAGGCAAATATTAAAATGTTCTGGAAACTTGTAAGAACTGCCAGGGGACATTCAAAACAGCCTATGTTGAATGCTATAAGAGACGTGAATGGCTATATTCTGAATGATGAAGTTTTGAGTTTAAAGAGATGGAAGGAATATTTTGAAAGCGTGTTTATTAGTGAGGAGACAACGTGTGTACTAAGTGGAGTAGAAACACCGAAAGAAGAGGAAAGAGGTAGCGAGATAAGTATAGATGAAATAATGAAAGCAATGAAAAGCATGAAAGCAGGTAAGGCTGCCGGATATGATAGTTTCACTCGAAATGCTAAGGGCTGGAGAGGAAGTGGTGGCAGGCCTGCTGCACACCTTGTTTAATTTATGCTGGGAATTGAAGCGGGTACCGGTAGACTGGTGCAAAGCTGTAATAGTCCCAGTATATAAAGGAAGAGGGTCGCAGCAGGACTGCAAAAAACTACCGTGGCATCAGCCTTCTTAGCATTGTGGGAAAACTGTATGCTAAGGTACTGATTGAAAGGGTCATGAAAGAAACTGATGGAAAAATTTGGGATGTGCAAGCGGGATTTAGAAAGGGAATGGGATGTACAGATCAAGTCTTTTCCATGCGTATGATCGCGGAGAAGTTTCTGGCCAAAAACCAGAAGGTTTTTTGTGCGTTCATGGACTTGGAAAAGGCCTATGACAGAGTGGATAGGGATTTGCTATGGCAAACACTGAACTCATTTGGGTTGAGCGCTGGCTTGATACAGGCATTGAAGTCTCTTTATAGGGACTCTAGTGCTTGTGTTAGGATCAACGGGGTCTACTCGGACTGGTTTGACATCCATAAAGGTGTCAGACAGGGCTGTGTGGCTTCCCCGTGGCTGTTCAACCTATTTATGGACAGTTGTTTGCAAAATTTGAAAGTTGAAGAATACGGATTAAGAATGGGTGAGTTAACCGTCAAATGCCTTTTGTACGCCGATGATCAAGTTATTATTGCGTCGTCGGCGGCCGAGTTGCAAATGATGGTTACATTAATGAACGGATCATTAAAAGAAAGGGTTATAAAAGTGAACGCAAGTAAGACGAAGGTTATGGTTTTTGAAAGAGAAGAAAGTAAAACGATTTGTGAAATAAGAATAGAAGGTGAGTTGATCGAGCAAGTAGATGAGTTTGTATATTTGGGCTGCGTATTTAGCAGGGATGGGAGATATGATAAGGATAGAGAACGAGGAGTGAATGCGGGAAATAGAGTAAATGGGGCCTTGCACTCTATTGTGAAGAGTCAAAATGTGTCGAAAAAGGCACGTATGGCAATTCACAATGCTGTGTTGGTCCCTACTTTAACGAATGGTAGTGAAAGTTGGGTGTGGCAGAAGAAGCACGAGAGTAGAATAAACGCAGTAGAAATGCGGTCGTTAAGGAGCATGTTAGGGCTGAATCTGAATGACAGGGTAAGGAATTGTGTAATAAGAGAAGAGTGTGGTTTGCAAGATGATGTGGTGACCAGGATTAAGAAAGGAATGCTTCGGTGGTTTGGTCATGTGGAAAGAATGAATGAGGAAAGAGTGACAAAGAAAATTTATGGTGCAGAAGTGAATGGCAGAGTCGGAAAGGGACGTCGTAGGCGAAAATATAATTTTAATTTATCGACCAAATACCCTTAACCGACGAGCATGTATGCGTAGGTGTATGGATGTGAAGGAGGCAAGAGAGGTGTGTCAGGATCGTGCCAAATGGAAGTCTGTAGTCTCTGCCTACCCCTCTGGGTGACAGGCGTGAGTGTTTATGTTTATGTATGATTTTACTTTGACATTAACACAATATGGCGTCTCAAAATGGCGTCCGTAGGTAGAGGACAAATTGCGATGGTAGCGCCAAGTTGAGTAGAATGGAACTAAGCTGTCACGGGCCGACTACGTAGCGCGTAGACAGAGAAACCTATAGACTACCAATCGGCGTGGCCTCGAGTGAGAAAGGACGATAACGAATTTTTAGGTTATACAATAATCTTTATGACTTTTAAACACATTTAGATAAAAATTTTAATTGTTCTAAGAACTGAACTGAACAAGATTCACCAATCTTAAGCACACAAAACACTTTTTTCTCACTTAAACCAACTTGTAAACTCCTTAAATCGCTACGTTGTTAAAGTTGTTTAGCAAACTGTAGAGTTTGCTAAACAAAACACCGGCACGTAGAAAGGGACAAACAATCACACCGCTCTATCTCATTTCTGTGCAAGACGTATGCATAAATCTATCTTTTTCGTGTGCTCCTCCGGTCCTCTACACTCACCATACGAAATACAGCAGCATTAAGCTACTATTTCACGCTGGTATTCTGTGAGAGCGTGGTCCTTCCCCGGTCGAGCCGCCCCATTCGTGCTACAACTATACTCCTAATATAACTGCAGCATGGCTCTACCACGTATAAATAAAAAATAAACGTGTTGCCTACATAGTAAATACGAAACGATCTTATCTGGATATTTCTTACGGAAATGTCTATGCATGTTAGTTATACTAATATCATTTGAAAAATATCGTCGCAGTGAGCATGTTCACGCCTGTAGTGGGGTTCTGATGGGAGAAACGATTCAACGTGCTGAGTCAACAAATTATGATCATAAGCAAGTGTTTTCTGGTGCTTACCTCCTTTATCAGTAAATCGGGGATCTATATGAGAGCTATGCAAGATCCTGTCGTTTGTTTTAACATAACCTAAGGTAGTCAAAAAAAGGGTTTGCATACCTCAACTCTGATGTCGTCTAGTTGTTTATATGTAAATACCCTTCTTGGTTTCCTTTTCGGGTCACTGGTCGTTTTTCTCTTTATAACTGCTACTGAAGTGTGTGCATTCAAGAATAAATGCTTTTCTCGCCAGGACAAGTCCCAGTACATTTTATTGATTGCTTTTCGCCCGTATTGACTAAATGTAGAAGTACATTTTTTTAGGTAGGTTTCGTTCCACCCCGTTTTAACATTATATTCTAACTTCTTTTTGGCATCTATTTTGTGCTGAAATAAGGGAGTGTCATATTTTTTACGTTTTTGTTTTGGTTGTGAAGGTTCCAAAGTGACTGCAACAGATTCATTGACTTGATACAATGTTAGATACGCACCAACGTCAGTGGTGTTCCCACGATTGCAAGGAAGTAGCGAGGCCACAATATATTTATCAGCACAAGTAAAATTTATTGAACTTCTGCGTTTATTCTGCAATTTTTTTCTTTCATGAATAAAAGTAACAGTGTCAAGAACGTCTGAAGTTAAGCTCTTCGTGACCACACACTTGACCCCAGCTGGTGTAAATATGGATTGTGAATCCTTTTTTTAGAACTTTTGTTTGTAACACTTGGGACTTTTGGCTTCTCGTTTTAACTGATTCAAAATCGTCACTTGAATCACTACTTGAATCAGATGGGAGATAGTCTTTATCACGCACAGAGTCGTCGGAATCAAAACCACATTGCAATGCGTACGTTGATGATCTAATATCATTTTGTTCGGTTACATTAAATGAGAGTTCTTCTAACGGTATCACTTCGTTGCAGGTTAAATCGATTTACACCTGATCAGAATTTGGTAAAGCGTCATGGCTCTGAGCAGGATAAGTTTTAAAATCTTTATTCAAATTATTCAGGATCGATGAAAGCACATGTGAATTATAAGTATTTTACGTATCACAAAACTTTTCAAAAACATTGGACGTCATCGAATAAGGCCTATTATAGTATAATGTATCAAAATGCAGTAGCTTGCGATAAGGACTTTTATTTCTTCTGCTAAAGTTCTCAAGGTGGTGTCTGTACTATCTTTCTTCTTAATCATGTCTAAAATGTTTTTGGATCTTTGTGAAATAGCAGTGCGCCTGTAACAATTAAAATGTAGGTTTACATTATCCTCTACACTGGTCTCTACAGTATCTTCAATTAATAGTATTTATAAATCAAAATAATTGGTTAATAAGGTCGACGAAATGTAACCATTTTATCTTTTTATTTTAATAGAAAACATTTAGTTATTTGCGAAACTATTTTGAACAGTATAGTATTAACACTTATCCAGTAAAATGTGCTAGTTACCGAAAGCATTAATGTAGTGTATTTATGTAATTTATTTTATATCATTTAAATTAATACTTTTAATACATCACAAATTCAAAATGATGCAGAAAAAAATGAGACGAAAAGGAAGGGGAAGGATGTCACTGCACATGGCATGTATACCGCATACTGGTCTGGTGTAGACGAGATCGAGCGGGCATGCCAGGGAGTAGGTATCATCCTTTCAGAAAGAATGGGCCAATGTGTGAAAGAGTATGAATGTGTAAGCCCAAGACTGCTATGGATACGAATGAAAGTGGGCTTAAAGAAGTTGTTTGTGTTAGGGGTCTACGCCCCAGATATGTCTAAGCCCACTTATATCCGGGAGCAGTTTTGGGAAATGGTAAGGATGGTGCTAATGAAGTGTAAGGGAAATGAAAATATTA